ACTCGCAGGGTGTGGACTCGCTGGGTGTGAATTCGCAGGGTGTGAATTCGCAGGGTGTGAATTCGCAGGGTGTGAATTCGCAGGGTGTGAATACGCAGGTTGTGAATTCGCAGGTTGTGAATTCGCAGGGTGTGAATTCGCAGGGTGTGGATTCGCAGGGTGTGAATTCGCAGGGTGTGAATTCGCAGGGTGTGAATTCGCAGGGTGTGAATTCGCAGGGTGTGAATTCGCAGGGTGTGAATTCGCAGGCTGTGAATTCGCAGGCGGTAAATTTGCAGGCTGTGAATTCGAAGGGTGTGGATTCGCAGAGTGTGGATTTGCAGAGTGTGGATTCGCAGGGTGTGGACTCGCAGGGTGTGGATTCGCAGGGTGTGGACTCGCAGGGTGTGGACTCGCAGGGTGTGGACTCGCTGGGTGTGAATTCGCAGGGTGTGAATTCGCAGGGTGTGAATTCGCAGGGTGTGAATTCGCAGGGTGTGAATTCGCAGGGTGTGAATTCGCAGGTTGTGAATTCGCAGGGTGTGGACTCGCAGGGTGTGAATACGCAGGGTGTGAATTCGCAGGGTGTGAATTCGCAGGGTGTGAATTCGCAGGGTGTGAATTCGCAGGGTGTGAATTCGCAGGGTGTGAATACGCAGGGTGTGAATTCGCAGGGTGTGAATTGGCAGGGTGTGGATTCGCAGGGTGTGAATTCGCAGGGTGTGAATTCGCAGGGTGTGAATTCGCAGGGTGTGAATTCGCAGGGTGTGAATTCGCAGGGTGTGAATTCGCAGGGTGTGAATTCGCAGGGTGTGAATTCGCAGGGTGTGGATTCGCAGGGTGTGGAGTCGCAGGGTGTGGACTCGCAGGGTGTGGACTCGCAGGGTGTGGACTCGCAGGGTGTGGACTCGCTGGGTGTGAATTCGCAGGGTGTAAATTCGCAGGGTGTGAATTCGCAGGGTGTGGGTTCGCAGGGTGTGAATTCGCAGGGTGTGAATTCGCAGGGTGTGAATTCGCAGGGTGTGAATTCGCAGGGTGTGGATTCGCAGGGTGTGGATTCGCAGGGTGTGAATTCGCAGGTTGTGGATTTGCAGGTTGTGGATTGGCAGGGTGTGAATTCGCAGGGTGTGAATTCGCAGGGTGTGAATTCGCAGGGTGTGAATTCGCAGGGTGTGAATTCGCAGGGTGTGAATTCGCAGGGTGTGAATTCGCAGGGTATGAATTCGCAGGGTGTGAATTCGCAGGGTGTGAATTCGCAGGGTGTGAATTCGCATTGTGTGGATTCGCAGGGTGTGCATTCGCAGGGTGTGGATTCGCAGGGTGTGAATTCGCAGGGTGTGGATTCGCAGGGTGTGAACTCGCAGGGTGTGGACTCGCAGGGTGTGGACTCGCAGGGTGTGGACTCGCAGGGTGTGGACTCGCAGGGTGTGGACTCGCAGGGTGTGAATTCGCAGGGTGTGAATTAGCAGGGTGTGAATTCGCAGGGTGTGAATTCGCAGGGTGTGAATTCGCAGGGTGTGAATTCGCAGGGTGTGAATTCGCAGGGTGTGAATTCGCAGGGTGTGAATTCGCTGGGTGTGAATTCGCAGGGTGTGAATTCGCAGGGTGTGAATTCGCAGGGTGTGAATTCGCAGGGTGTGGATTCGCAGGGTGTGAACTCGCAGGGTGTGGACTCGCAGGGTGTGGACTCGCAGGGTGTGGACTCGCAGGGTGTGGACTCGCAGGGTGTGAATTCGCAGGGTGTGAATTAGCAGGGTGTGAATTCGCAGGGTGTGAATTCGCAGGGTGTGAATTCGCAGGGTGTGAATTCGCAGGGTGTGAATTCGCAGGGTGTGAATTCGCAGGGTGTGAATTCGCAGGGTGTGAATTCGCAGGGTGTGAATTCGCAGGGTGTGAATTCGCAGGGTGTGAATTCGCAGGGTGTGAATTCGCAGGGTGTGAATTCGCAGGGTGTGGATTCGCAGGGTGTGGATTCGCAGGGTGTGAATTCGCAGGGTGTGGATTCGCAGGGTGTGAATTCGCAGGGTGTGAGTTTTGCAGGTTGTGAATTCGCAGGGTGTGAATTCGCAGGGTGTGAATTCGCAGGGTGTGAATTCGCAGGGTGTGAATTCGCAGGGTGTGGATTCGCAGGGTGTGGATTCGCAGGGTGTGAATTCGCAGGGTGTGGATTCGCAGGGTGTGAATTCGCAGGGTGTGAATTCGCAGGGTGTGAATTCGCAGGGTGTGAATTCGCAGGGTGTGAATTCGCAGGGTGTGAATTCGCAAGGTGTGAATTCGCAGGGTGTGAATTCGCAGGGTGTGAATTCGCAGGGTGTGAATTCGCAGGGTGTGAATTCGCAGGGTGTGAATTCGCAGGGTGTGAATTCGCAGGGTGTGAATTCGCAGGGTGTGGATTCGCAGGGTGTGGATTCGCAGGGTGTGAATTCGCAGGGTGTGGATTCGCAGGGTGTGAATTCGCAGGGTGTGAGTTTTGCAGGTTGTGAATTCGCAGGGTGTGAATTCGCAGGGTGTGAATTCGCAGGGTGTGAATTCGCAGGGTGTGAATTCGCAGGGTGTGAATTCGCAGGGTGTGGATTCGCAGGGTGTGGATTCGCAGGGTGTGAATTCGCAGGGTGTGGATTCGCAGGGTGTGAATTCGCAGGGTGTGAATTCGCAGGGTGTGAATTCGCAGGGTGTGAATTCGCAGGGTGTGAATTCGCAGGGTGTGAATTCGCAAGGTGTGAATACGCAGGTTGTGAATTCGCAGGTTGTGAATTCGCAGGGTGTGAATTCGCAGGGTGTGAATTCGCAGGGTGTGAATTCGCAGGGTGTGAATTCGCAGGGTGTGAATTCGCAGGGTGTGGATTCGCAGGGTGTGAATTCGCAGGGTGTGAATTCGCAGGGTGTGGATTCGCAGGGTGTGAATTCGCAGGGTGTGGATTCGCAGGGTGTGAATTCGCAGGGTGTGAATTCGCAGGGTGTGAATTCGCAGGCTGTGAATTCGCAGGGTGCGAATTCGCAGGGTGTGAATTCGCAGGCTGTGAATTCGCAGGGTGTGAATTCGCAGGGTGTGAATTAGCAGGGTGTGAATTCGCAGGGTGTGAATTCGCAGGGTGTGAATTCGCAGGGTGTGAATTCGCAGGGTGTGAATTCGCAGGGTGTGAATTCGCAGGGTGTGAATTCGCAGGGTGTGAATTCGCAGGGTGTGAATTCGCAGGGTGTGAATTCGCAGGGTGTGAATTCGCAGGGTGTGAATTCGCAGGGTGTGAATTCGCAGGGTGTGAATTCGCAGGGTGTGGATTCGCAGGGTGTGGATTCGCAGGGTGTGAATTCGCAGGGTGTGGATTCGCAGGGTGTGGATTCGCAGGGTGTGAGTTTTGCAGGTTGTGAATTCGCAGGGTGTGAATTCGCAGGGTGTGAATTCGCAGGGTGTGAATTCGCAGGGTGTGAATTCGCAGGGTGTGGACTCGCAGGGTGTGGACTCGCAGGGTGTGGACTCGCAGGGTGTGAATTCGCAGGGTGTGAATTAGCAGGGTGTGAATTCGCAGGGTGTGAATTCGCAGGGTGTGAATTCGCAGGGTGTGAATTCGCAGGGTGTGAATTCGCAGGGTGTGAATTCGCAGGGTGTGAATTCGCAGGGTGTGAATTCGCAGGGTGTGGATTCGCAGGGTGTGGATTCGCAGGGTGTGAATTCGCAGGGTGTGGATTCGCAGGGTGTGAATTCGCAGGGTGTGAGTTTTGCAGGTTGTGAATTCGCAGGGTGTGAATTCGCAGGGTGTGAATTCGCAGGGTGTGGATTCGCAGGGTGTGAATTCGCAGGGTGTGAATTCGCAGGGTGTGGATTCGCAGGGTGTGGATTCGCAGGGTGTGAATTCGCAGGGTGTGGATTCGCAGGGTGTGAATTCGCAGGGTGTGAATTCGCAGGGTGTGAATTCGCAGGGTGTGAATTCGCAGGGTGTGAATTCGCAGGGTGTGAATTCGCAAGGTGTGAATACGCAGGTTGTGAATTCGCAGGTTGTGAATTCGCAGGGTGTGAATTCGCAGGGTGTGAATTCGCAGGGTGTGAATTCGCAGGGTGTGAATTCGCAGGGTGTGAATTCGCAGGGTGTGGATTCGCAGGGTGTGAATTCGCAGGGTGTGAATTCGCAGGGTGTGGATTCGCAGGGTGTGAATTCGCAGGGTGTGGATTCGCAGGGTGTGAATTCGCAGGGTGTGAATTCGCAGGGTGTGAATTCGCAGGCTGTGAATTCGCAGGCTGTGAATTCGCAGGGTGTGAATTCACAGGGTGTGAATTCGCAGGCTGTGAATTCGTAGGGTGTGAATTCGCAGGGTGTGAATTCGCAGGGTGTGAATTCGCAGGGTGTGGATTCGCAGGGTGTGGATTCGCAGGGTGTGGATTCGCAGGGTGTGGACTCGCAGGGTGTGAATTCGCAGGGTGTGAATTCGCAGGGTGTGGATGCTCACAGGGGGCTGTTAACAGGGGGATGTTAACAGGGGGATGTTAACAGGGGGTTTAACATGGGGCTATTATCAGGGGGCTGTTAACAGGGGGCTATTCACAGGGGGTTGTTAACAAAATACTGGGAGTGGTGAATGGAATCTAGATTGCTGTGCGGTGCAGAGGCATGGAGAGGCATGGAGAGGCATGGAGAGGCATGGAGAGGCATGGTGAGGCATGGTGAGGCATAGTGAGCACCAGATGGGTGGAGAGCGAAAAGGAGGCATACTCACAGGTGATCCATAACAGCTGTGCCGCCAGTCATAATAGTCTCTACTGCCGTGTGAAGGGCTGCCCAATACACCTGGTGGGGTGGTGTGCGGTGAAGTGCGGTGGGTTGCAGCGTGCAGGGGAGGGTTGGGGTGCGGTGGGGTATGGTGGAGTGTACAGTGGACAAAAGGCTGAGTCCTCTCGTGCCTCCAGTCATGATTGTCTCTACTGCCGTGCGTAGGGCTGCCCAATACACCTAGTGCGGTGAAGTGCGGTGGGATGTGGCATGGTGGGGTGCGATGGGGTGTGGTGTGGTACGACAGATTGGGTGACATCACATGAGTGTGCTGAATAACCCCAGGAGGGAAAGTGCTTCTAAAGGCACCTCAGAATGCGTGGGTTCATGGGAGAGGATGGAGCGTCCACCCTCACCACACCACACCACACCACACCACACCACACCACACCCTTCCGCCCCTTCCACCCACCTCAAACCTTCCCCTCCCCTCTCGTCTCACCCCCCCCCTTCCTCTCAACGCACCCCTTCCCTCCCCTCTCACCACATCAGGTGAAACCGAGGGGTTGGGTCCTCGGGGGTCCATATGGGTAAAAAGGGAATTTACCCACAGCTCCAGGGGCTGGAACGGAGGGTAAGAGGGAGCAGCAGGGCCATCGTATATCAATAAACAGCAAAGAATGAAACAAGAGCGAAGGAACAACAAACATGTAATTTAAGTGTGATGAATATTTTGTGACAGCTTGCATTCATCTCAACAGAAGGCGTTTCAACTTGCTGTGAAACAAAACTTTTCTTTAATCTGATTGTAGGGTGGGGCGCCTTGAACCTCAAAAAGGCGTTTCATCTCACCAAAAGGAGTGACATTTCACCGAACTTGTTACATCTCACCAGCAGGCGTTACATCTCACCAGAGGCACGATTCCTCCTCTGCCCCACGCCTCTATGCTGTGCGTGTGTGCGTTGACCATCCCCGGTAGTAGCTGAGTCATAAAGAGAGGGCGTGGGAGGGGGGACAAACCGAGGCAACGTAGTCTCATTTTCACAGTGTTCCCTATCATGTGCATTGTCCATAGACACATCCCCTCTCTCCTTGCCACATGTGATCTAATTTTCACGCCTACATTTGAACAAGCTGCATCATAGACGTAGCATGGAAGGACGTACCATCTTATCGGTTCCGTCTATAACGTGTACAGCCCTGCCACTCGCTGCTGCTGCATCACTATCACCACCAGCAGCACCATCAGCAGCACTAGCATCAGAACCACCATCACTATCAGCTGCGTTGGTGACGGCGTGGGGTGTGATGGGGGACGTGCGGACCACCGACTCGATCACTCCCTGAAACATGCGCACCGTGAAGCGCGCGTACCTGGGGGAATGGGGGAGGGGGAAAGGGGGTTATGGAGAGAAAAGGGGGAGGAAGAGGGGAGGAGGGGGGAAGGGAAGTGATGGGGGATGTGCGGACCACCGACTCGATCACTCCCTGAAACATGCGCACCGTGAAGCGCGCGTACCTGGGGGAATGGGGGAGGGGGGAAAGGGGGTTATGGAGAGAAAAGGGGGAGGAAGAGGGGAGGAGGGGGGAAGGGAAGTGATGGGGGATGTGCGGACCACCGACTCGATCACTCCCTGAAACATGCGCACCGTGAAGCGCGCGTACCTGGGGGAATGGGGGAGGGGGAAAGGGGGTTATGGAGAGAAAAGGGGGAGGAAGAGGGGAGGAGGGGGGAAGGGAAGTGATGGGGGACGTGCGGACCACCGACTCTATCACTCCGCGAGACGTGCGCACAGTGAACCGCGCGTACCTGGGGGGAAGGGGATGGGGGAGGGGAGGGGAGAGGGGAACGGAGAGGGAACACGAGGATTAAGCACGAGACCATTTTCTGGAGCTACATTTTCTAGCACTATACAACATTTGGTTCGTACAAAAAATCCTCATGTGTACACCCAAAACCCGAAAACAAAATCGTACGTTGCAGTTTTGCAATATGGAACCAGTTTTTCTCTAGTTTTGCTAGGGCGCGCGCATACTTCAGTCGCTTCCCGCCATTTTCATTCCTTCCGCCCCGCGCTCACTCCGCCGCGCTTCCCGCCGCTTCCGCCGCTGCTGTTCTCCATTTCGCGTGTCGCGCCGGCTTTCCGCGACGATGGTGTTTAAGGGGAAGCCGACGTTCGATGTAACGCCGCCGGACGATTTCGACCCGAAGAACCCGTACGCGGATCCGGTGGCGATGCTCGAGCATCGCGAATGGCTGGTTCGCGAAAAGATGGTCGCGATCGAGCGTGCGAAGCTGCTTCGCGAACAGTTGAAGCAGTGTTACCGCACGGAGGGGGTGAATCATATTAAGAATTGTAGCGAGCTGGTGCAAAAATACCTGTCGTCGATTAAGAACGTCGGGTGGGGTAAAGACACGCGGATTCACAAGCTCTACAGCGAAACCGCGGAGCAGAGCTGATCTTGTAACGGGACGACCTTGTAACGAGACCATGTTGCGATACGGTGAGCAATGGGTTAGGTACAGATGGGATACGTAGAAACTTAAGAGCCTACTTAGGGACGCCGTTATGAGGAGAGGTAGAGAGGGAGAGAGGAACAGGGGGGTAGAGGAGGAGGTGGTAGGGGGGGGGGGAAGGGGGGATGAGAGTGGGTATGGGGCAGTGGAGGTACCGGGGGGTTAGCTGGAAACTTTTAGGTCGAGTTAAGAGTAGAGAGATAGGAGATGAGTGCAGGTGGGGTGAGGGAGAAGCAAGACGAGGACAAGAGGAAGGGTGGAGAGTGCGGAGCGTGTAATGTGATTGTGGAAGTGGGAGAACCATGAAAGGAATATATGTGATAGTGATAAGGACGAGACAATAGGGGGCAAAAGGGGACTGTCAGGGGTGTCAGTCATGCATGGAATGACGTCTGACGTGTCATACATGAAACGACACCCCATACATGAAACGACATCCAATACTTGAAACGACACCCCATACATGAAACGACACCCCATACATGAAACGACACCCCGTACATGAAACGACACCTTGGGGTGTGGTTTACCAGGTCCCATGCATCAGGTGGGAGTCCGTGCTACTGGTTGATAAGTATGGTCACTGGTTGTGGGTTGGTGAGTCTGGTGTGGTTTGTTGGGTCTGGTGTGGTTTGTTGGGTCTGGTGTGGTTTGTTGGGTCTGGTGTGGTTTGTTGGGTCTGGTGTGGTTTGTTGGGTCTGGTGTGGTTTGTTGGGTCTGGTGTGGTTTGTTGGGTCTGGTGTGGTTTGGTGGGTCTGGTGTGGTTTGTTGGGTCTGGTGTGGTTTGTTGGGTCTGGTGTGGTTTGTTGGGTCTGGTGTGGTTTGGTGGGTCTGGTGTGGTTTGTTGGGTCTGGTGCGGGGCTTGCACATCCCATGCACTCACTCACAGGCAAAAAGGTTGCATACTTGATGCTCTCCCATCTCGCCGTATTGTGTTTGGTTTCAGGAACTGCTCTGGAGAAGAGGAAATGCAGCTTTTGGGAGTGCATCTTGATGTTTAGTAATTGCATCTTCGTTCTTTTTTGGTTGCATCGGCCCGTATTGTGTTTGGTTTCAGAAACTGTAGTGCACTGGAGAACGGACAGTGCAGCCTCTGGGATTAGTCACTCCAGCCATACAATACAATGCATGCCTATTGGTATTCTGTCAAAATCTGACACTTGTCGAATTTCATATCCATTTGTATTGATTGGCTCCTTCTGTGCATGTGTCTATGTACTTAGTGTTATTAGTGTTTTGATACCAAAAGTTGATACCAAGAGATGATGTGGTGGGTTGAATGGTACTTCCATGTGGGCAGCTGCATTTGCACAACAATTGTCGCAGTGGATGTGGTACTATTGCTTCCTAGAACATGTTGATTCTTACAGTTATTGTACAATACACTGCTGGAAAAAGGTTGTCTGCTAGGCAACAAAAACACTACAGTATGCAACTAGCAGCATGATAATCCATCTTTTGTTATCCCGTCTCAGCAGGACTCCCTCACGGCCAGCCCCACACTCCTGCTGGATACTTCGTACCGGTACAGTAAACCCAGCTGCTCTTTCAATTCTACCGCCCAACAGCAGCTACGAGACCTCACTCAACTCAGCAATCAGGGGAATGCGGGTTTGCGTCTGGTCCAGGAAGCATCATGCAATCGTGTCTTAACAAACGGCCAGCCACACACACTCACTCCTGCTGGCTACTCCAGCTGCGTTTCCAAACCCCCCAAAGCAGCTTCCAGACGTCTCAACTCAGCAGTCATGGGAATGCTTGTTTGCGTCTCGTCCAGGAAGCATCATGGGACTGGGTCTCCCTCACTCCCAGCCGCACACTCCTGCTCTCCGCCCTCCTGAACCTAAACACCCCAGCCAGTTGCCTCAACATGCTCCTCCCTCCTCCCCCTCCTCCCCCTCCCTCTCCCCCTCCTCCCCCTCCTCTCTCCCCCCCTCCTCCCCCTCCCTCTCCTCCTCCTCCTCCTCCTCCTCCTCCTCCTCCTCCTCCTCCTCCTCCTCCTCCTCCTCCTCCTCCTCCTCCTTCCCCACCTCCTGGTCTACGGCTGTGACTACGGGGAACGTGACTCAAACGATCGGCATTCACCGAATTCCACTCCCTAGAGAACTCACTCTCTCCTCCATACGACCTGGATAGGTCCCTCAACCCGTCCCCCTGATCGCGCTCGGACTCATTTCGAGTCGGCTCAAAGCTAATCTCGTGCCTCTGATTCTGCCCAAGGTGGCTTCCGTTAACCTGGTGCCAAGCGTGCTGGTGCTGTTGCTGGTGATGCTGCTGGTAATGGTGCTGCTGCTGATGGGTCTGCTGGTGGTGGGAGCTGTCATTGCTGCAAACCGAGAGATCCGAAGTCGACGTATCAGCATTTGACACACGCTCAACGCCCCCAAGCACTACTGGCTCAGAGCATGTTCTCGTGACCTCCACACTCTCCCTGCTCCCCCTGGCCCTCGGGGCGATGGCACTGCTACCGGCCAAACTGCTGCTCGCTTGGTTCTCCTCTGCTGCTGCTGCTGCTGCCGCTGCTGCTAATGATGGTGATGCTGACGCGGAAGCAACAGAGCCTGCAGTTGCTGTCTGTGCGCGTGCCAATGCCGCATATGGTGATGCTGATCCTGTTCTTGCTGTCTGTGCGCGTGCCAGTGCCACGGGCCTTGCTCCACTGGCTGTTGCTGTTGCAGCTGATGCCGCTCGGGCTAGATCCTGCAGTCTCGAATCCAAATCCCTTCCCATTAAAGCCCTTGCTAACGGTTCATGTGCTGCTGCTGTTGCTTGTGCTGCTGTCGCTGTGTGTGTTACTGCTGTTCCTGAAACTGTTGCTGATGCCGGTCCTGCTTGTGCTGCTGCTGTCGCCACTCTAGCCAGATCCCTCAGCTTGGCATCAACGTCTCGCCCTGATGCCACCCGCAATAGCGGTGCCTGTACCTCTCCCGCTTCTGGTGTTGCTGGTCGTTCCATGCCTGCTGTTCCTGCTACCACTGCTGCGACAGCTGCAGAAGCAGCAGCTGCTGCTGCTGCTGCTGGTAGTGCAGGTGTTGCTGCTGATCCAGCTGCTGTTGCTGCAGCTGTCGCCACTCTAGCCAGATCTCTCAGCTTGGCATCAACGTCTCGCCCTGATGTGGCCCGCAAAAGCGGTGGCTGTACCGCTGCTATCGGCACTGTTGGTGGTGCTGCTGCTGCAAGCATTCCTGGTGCTGCTGCGGTTCCAGCTGCTGGTGCTGCTGGTGCTGCTGGTGAAGCAGCTGACGCCACTCTAGCAAGATCTCTCAGCTTTGAATGTAGGTCTTGCCCTGATGTGGCACACACTAGCAGTGGCTGAGCTGCTGCTGCTGGTGCTGCTGGTACTGCTGGTGCTGCTGGTACTGCTGGTGCTGCTGCGGTTCCAGCTACTGGTGCTGCAGCTGACGCCACTCTAGCCAGATCCCTCAGCTTAGCATCAACGTCTCGCCCTGATATGGCATGCATTAGCGGTGGCTGTGCTGCTGCTGCTGCTCCAGCTGTTGCTGGTCCAACCATTGCTGCTTCTGCAGCAGCACCAGCAGTGGCAGCAGCAGCACCATCAACATCAGCAGCAGTGGCAGCAGCAGCAGCAGGAGCACCACCAACATCAGCAGCAGTGGCAGCAGCAGCAGCAGGAGCACCACCAACATCAGCAGCAGCAGCAGCAGCAGCAGCAGCACAACCACCACAACCAGCAGCAGCACCAGCAGCGGCAGAGTCAAGCCCTGATGAGCCTGGAGCCCCATCAGGGGCTTTCTCAGGTGTCCACAGGTTAAACGACATGCTACTGCCTTTTGGCAAAGCATTGGGCGAATACCTGGGAGAACACCTGACCTTATCTTTCCCTCTTTCCTCCTTTGCTGCTTTGGAGGCAATCCCCAAGCAAAGAGAGATCTCATTCGCTCGTAGGGCGTGTTCAGTGCAGGTTGATGCATCATCACCATCATCAGCAGCACCACCAGAACCACCAGCAGCAGCACCACCAGCAGCAGCACCACCAGCAGCAGCACCACCAGCAGCACCAGCAACACCACCACCAGCACCAGCACCACTATCAAAACCCGTACAGTCCCAGGAAAACAGCCCTGGTGCTGCTGGGCTGCGCCTGGGGGAGGCGGTACCTGCTGGGCTGCGTCTGAGGGAGGCGTTAGCTGCTGGGCTGCATCTGGGGGAGGCGTTACCTGGCTGAGGGGTTTTACCTGATAAGTAGGCATTCGCTCTGGGGATACGCCCTGTTCCTCCTGCTCCAGAGGGAGAAACATCCGGGGAAGGTAGAACTGCAGGAGTAGTTTGACTGCTGCTGCAGCTGCTGCTGATACCACTGCTGTGGGTACTGCTGCCATTGCTGCTGCTGTTGCTGCCACTGCTGTTGCCGTTGCTGCCAATACTGTTGCCGTTGCTGCCGCTACTGTTGCCGTTGCTGCCACTGCTGCCGCTACTGTTGCTAACCCCACTGAACGTGGCACTGAAACAGCCATCGTCCAGTGAGCTCTGGAAATCAAACTCCTCCTGTCCTTCCGCGCTCACCTCTGCTCCCTGCCCCTCCTGCCCCTCCTGCTCCCCCTGCCCCCCCGCCTTTTCCCCCTGCCCCGCCCGCCCTGACACCAGCCCCAGCCCCAGTCGTAGTGCTGCTCCTGGTTGTGTGTTCCGCACCCCCTGGCTCTGCTTCTCCGCTGCTCCCAAGTTCCTCCGCTCTGCACCCAACTCAATCTCTGCTCCCTGCCCCCCCTGCATCCTTTCTCCGTCCCTCCTGATTTCCGAGCCTGGACCCGAACCTGAATCTCCCCCTGTTTCCGAGCGGTCGACTAGGTTGGTTCCCAAGTTGCTTCTGAGCTTGGTTTGCTCGCGCAGCTGCTTCTGAGCAAGCCCCTTCCTCCTGAGTTGCTTAAAGTGGTCGGAGTAGTTCAACGGCCTGCTCTGTGCATCCCCCTCCCCCCTCTGCGCCTCCCCTACCCTCCCTTGCGCGCCCCCCTCTCCCCCTCGGCCAGCTTCCAAATGCTCAGCCGCACCCTTAAGTGAAGGCATAACAGGATTCTTCACCCCGTTTTGAAGCACCCCAAAAGTTGGCACCCCATTTTGAGGCGCCTCAAAAGTCGCAACCTTAAGAGAAGGCATAACAGGATTCTCAAACCCATTTCGAGGCGCCAAGCTTGGCAATGGGCCGGGAGAACGCACAAGCGGAGGAGGATTCGACCCTTGGCCCACGTCACCGTCGAGGTTTAGGCGGGGCACTGAACCGGGAAGCGGAGGAGGGTTTGACCCTTGGCTCACGTCGCCGTCGAGGGTCAAGCGGGGCATTGAACCAGG